GGGGTGGGAGTATTATTTCTTTCTCTCCTTCCTTTTTTCTTTTCTACTGTATATCTTGTTTTATTTTTCAAAGTGGTATTCTAATATTCCTTTATTCTGTCCTTATTCTTCCTTTCCTACTTTCTTCCGTTTAATTCTCTGTTAGCTTGTCCGTGTTGTTGTTGTGCCTTCTTATCTATATATAGACTTTGCGTGATGAGTGGGTACCGCAAGCGAGACTACGATGATTACGCGGGAGAGGAGGCGGGCCGCGTGCGGTACAGTGATCTGCCGCCCGAGACGAAACTGCAGCGGCGGCGAGTGGAGCGGCGGGAGAAAAAAGAGCGGGAGCGCACACTCGCGTACTTCACATCTGTGCAGCGGGCCCTCGATGAGTGGGCGGCGGGCGGCGGGGATGCGGGGAACATCGCCGCCCTCGTCGACGGCTTCATCGTCGAACTCATCAAATTACTCCGCGCAGACCCCACGCTGCACTTACTGCGCAACGGCACCGTCTGCAGGGCCATTGAGGCGGCACTCGCACACTCACTCCTCTTACATCTCAAGTCACTTCTCTACGTTCTCCTCGGCCGCGTGTACGACACCGCGGCATCCCCCACCGCCAGTTACGTTCTCGAGGCCATCGTCGCAAGACTCACCGCCGCCCTCGCCGCAGAGGCATCTAATCAACAGGACGGAGAGACACTTCGCATAGGCGATGAGGGATCAACACTCGCAGCGGAAATGACAGTTGGCGGCCCCGGCGCCCACGCCGACGGCGGCGTTCCAAGTGTCGCAACACTCCTCGCAGGTGTTGTGGACGAACTCGCGGAACGATCGGACGATATTATTTTGCACGAAGTTGCCGCTCGTGCGGTGCGCTCTATTGTGTTACTTCTCGCCGGCCGCACTATCCGCGGTGCCCCACCGCTGCAACACCCCGTGAAGTTTATACCGCAATTAGAGAATCTGGCCACAGCACTCATGCAGTCGTTAGAGACAACCTTTGCGGATAGTCGCACCCAATCTGATGTTGACGTCTGGCTTGCCATTGCCAGTACACCAACCGCAAGTTTTATTGTTCAGAACCTCCTACGTGTGAGTGAGGAAGGCACGGCGGTAGATGTGGTGGTGCGTCAGCGTTTGGAATCTGTTAATGATAGTGCCATTTGTAATGGTAAGAAGGGTTCAACACTGTTGCGACGATTGCTATTGGATCCCATGGGATGTCATATCTTCCAAGCGTATCTAAAGGTTCCAGTACCAACTAACGTTTTGGAGGCATGTGATTTGATCGCCACTCGCAAAGCAGCTGAAGCCGAAGCAGGAAAAACACAAAAATCCACAAAAGAACGACGACTTAAAGAAATTATGCGTGATATTGCTGCAGAGAATAAGATGGAGGAAAAAGAGGAAGAAGGGACAAATACTCTCAACGTGGATGAATACCAAACGTGTTGGGATAAAGCTCTTGATGTTTTATTGGAGGCGATGGATGAACTTCTCGATCCTTCGGTAGATAGAGTCTCACAGGCGGCATATGCTATACAGGATCTTGTGCTTTTCACTCCAACGGCATTGCACTTGGAACGTATCTGGGAGAAACTGCTTAAACCTAGACTAGAATTATTTATTTCTAATCCAGCTTTAGCACAAGTTCTTGTTCTCTTTACACGCAAATGTGCCTTCTCCGGTCCACCCAACACATCAGATGATGAGGATAATATAGCTGCAGTATTAGATAACCGTGGTGCTGGTGGTAGTAGTAGTAGTACTGGTAGCGGTGGTGAAGTACTTCCAAAGGATATTGAACAACACTTGTATGCTGATGTTGCGCAAGGGGTACGCTATTTTCCTGTTTCTACTGAATTTCAAAAATCGGTAACGACAACATTATGTTTTGGGATGAAACAACTCTGCACAAAAGGTGCTACACAATATCTTCTTGTGGAGGGTGGTATGCGAGAGAAGGGATATGAGGTGGCACGTTGTATTCTTCACTTCAATACCTCCGCATCGGCAATGTTTATTCACGCAATGGATAAGTTATGTCTTTCTGATGTTGATGCACTTATGCGACAGACAAAGGGTAGTCTTGTGATACAGCAGTATCTTCGTGCCGCCGCAGGTCTACATGCATTTTCTTCTAATTCTTCTTCAACCACTGCCTTAGCGACAGGAAAGAACGTAGATGAGCAAAAAGATGAGAAAACTGCATTAATGAGATTTCTACGCCGAATTAAGGAACTACTACCGGTGTTAGTGGATGACAAGTGTGCTGCATTCGTGGTGGAAGTATTATATGAAGTTGGATCTCTGGGACTAAAAGAGGAACTGGTAAAGTTGTTGGTACCTATTTACAGTACTTTTCGTCGAGTACATGTGGAAATGAAAGATCAAGAAGAGGGGCAAGAACAACAGGAAGATGTAGAAGGAAATACTTCTGGTACAAATCGTCCTCAAATGCGTGGGTTTATTGCTGGAAAAGTAATGACGAAGTGCTGTGTGGAGTTGTACATGCACCGACCTGAGGAATGGATGAAGTTAGCACGGCGTCAATGCCAAGTGCAGAGACTCCTACAACGCATGTCTGCTGTCACACTGTAGCATTTCAAAAAAAAAAAAAATAAGAATAAAAAAAACAATACAAATATAATATTTCTGGATAGGCTATATATACAGCTCTTTCACACTCTAATCGAAGCGCCAAAATAAACATTATTATTATTATTATTATTATTATTACTATTATTATTATTATTATTATTATTTATTACTGAAGTGGTTTGGCAGAACTGTTTACCTCTCCTATTATTAGATTTCTTCTTTCTAAGGGATTTTTCCTAATTCTTTTTTTTTTTTTGCTGTGTGACGCACAACTGTGTATGTCTTCTTTTCGCTTTTTCTTTTTCTTTTTCTTTTTTTTTTTTTTACTACAGCGATGAGTTGCTCGCGGGAGGAGCTCCGTACTCTGATGAGTAGGCTAGAGTACATGGAGCGCCGCGAAAAGGAACGTGAGCGAGATCTGAATGATCAGCTGGACACTGTGCAGCGGGATCTCGCAACTACCCGCAGTGAGTTCAACACGGCAGAGACAAAGTGCAGTCAAGAAATGGCACAGATGCAAAAAGACTGGCGAGCAGCAATGGCATTAACACGGCAGGCACTTGATAGAGCGGAGTGTATTTGGCGTGATTTAGTGATGGAAGAAAAGGACCGACTTGTGAAGGAACTGCAGGAGCGGGAACGAGAGCGATTTGATGTTACTCAACGCGTTGTGGGGGATCTCGCTGAGCAGGTCTCGCGTCTCTCAGAGATTGTAGCAACGAAATTGACAGATATAAAGCAACAACAACAACATGAACAGTGTGTTGAGCGGGAAATAGAGAAGCACCGAGTGTGGCTTCAAGAGCATAAGAAGAAGGAGTCTGAGTTTTTGTGCTTTTTCAAAGAAACATGTACACAACTGCAGAATGCTATTCATAAAGAAGAACAGGCGAGAGAGGAAAGTATGAGACGTATTGAACAACTCCTGATGGGTACTACCACTAACACCACCAGCAACAACAATAGTAGTAACAACGCTATCAAAAAGGTGTATCATTTTTAGATTCTTTAGATTAGATCTTTTCATGCGCGTTTGCGTATACGAGTGAGTATAGAGTAAAACGAGAGAAAGTTTTATTTTACTTGTTTTTTTTTTTCTTATTTTTATTTTTATTATTTCTTTCTTTTCTTTCTCCTTGGTTATATATATATGTATGTTTATTACTAACCTTGTACTTCTTCTTTTCACTCTCTGAACGCTTGTGAAGGAAAACAAAAGGTATAGAGTGAGAGAAAAAGAAAAAAAAAAAAAAAAACCCTCTCACCCATTACAGCAACAAGAAGAAGAAAAAAAGAAAAAAGAAAGAAAAAAGTACCCAAACGTTCATGATATGGGCGAGCGTGTGAATATCTGCGACTTGTACCGCTCCTACTGCGTTGATGAGGGTTGCCGCGCCAACTCTGCGGTGCTGCAGTACATTGAGGACCGTGGGGCGATGCACTCACTCGAGCAATTACTCCTCGGCAACAATTATTTGGGCCCGCGAGGTCTGCGGCCGGTTATTCGCCTCGTGGCGTACTGCCAAACACTCACGCGGCTCAATCTTGATGGTAATGGCGCCAATAACGATACGGTGGAACAACTCTGTATCGTGTTGGAGTCTCACATGGGCGTGCAGTCAGTGAGTCTTCGCAGCAATCCAATTACGGCAACAGGGGGAAAGCGAATACTGCGGCTGGTGGAGTGCAATCCACGCATTACTTTTGTGGATCTCACAGACACGGATGTGTTTGAAGCGATTATATATAAAATAGGTGTCGTTACAGGAAACAACCGGCGGAGGGCAATGGAAGAGACACCACAACTGGTTCTTACAGAGATTGATGAACAGTATCAACACCAACAACATCAGTCGCGTGGATACATGAGTTCCCTGCAGGCACAAGCCGCTACTGAGACACCAACGCTCTCTCTGTTGCCACCTGTGGTGAGGGACACAACATCAACAACAGCAGCAACAGCAACAACTACACTTAATACCACTACTACTACTACTACTGCTACTACTACTAATACTACTAGTACTGCTGTGGGAGGAGGAGGAGGAGGAGGTGGAGGAAAAGGAGGAAAAGGATTATCCTCAAGGCATGAGAATCCTTTACATGCCTCTAAAGGTGCCCCAGTAATTACAAATATTCAACCGCGTCCACCAATTCCTGCTATTGCGTCAAGGGAATCTACAAGACTACCGGAAGTGCAGCGGCAACAACTACTACGTCGATACCGTGAAAAGGCATTGTTGTTTCGTGAAATTAATTCCAGTTCAGCAAGTAAGGCTGCAGATCGTGCACGGGAAGAATTAATGCTTCTAGAGAAAAGCATGAAAAATCAGAAAAAAACTGCAATATTGGAGACAATATTAGAGAAAAAAGAAACTCCTGCTGCTCGTAAAGAAATAAAAGAATCTGCTGATACAATAGAGATGAATGCTGATACAGATACTCTCTCATTAACACCACCAAATCAAGAGCAGGAACAAGAACAAGAACATCAACAAACAGATAGTAAAGAAGGGAAAAGTAAAGACTCGGATACGGATTCCCCTAATGGTATGGAGAATGATACAGAAAAACCGTTTGGACAAACAGATGGTGATACAGGCGACGATACCCCTGGAGAGAATATAACATTTGGAGTTGTAGATGCAGAAGCACGCCCTCGGGAGTTTAGAACATCAATCAACGGAGAGCCATTTACAACAGATAGCAGTAACTTGATGGAAACTGCCGATAATGATGAAAATGATGGTGATAATGATGATATCCCTCTGGGATTACTGCAAGTAAGTCCTCAGTGGATGGCGCTTGATAGTAGTGAACAGTTCCAAAGACTTTTTAACACTGGATGCCGTTCTTACGTAAAGCATGACTTTGATACAGCGTACACTGCGTGGAATGAGGCAATGAGTATTGCTGTGAAGAAAAAGAATCGTGAATGGATGGCGGTATTAACGAATAACTTACAACGTCTTAGCTATGAAATGCTTGTACGTGAGGGTGTAGATCATCTCGAACACGATAGACTTGAGGAAGCTGATACTTCCTTTCAACGGGCAATGGAAGTAGCACAAAAATCACATAATGCTAAATGGGAGGCGGATATGCATAAAGCCCGTAAAGATGTACAACATGCCGTGTTCCGTCGTTGTCATGAGTCGGCACTGCGATTGTTTGAACAGGCAAAACATCAACCACTACACAGAGTAACAGATGATGATTACTTTATTCTTCCTGGAACCGATTTGTTGGTTCAGCACACAGAGGCGTATGTAAATGAGTGGCCACGATTACTGCTTGTGAAGGAGGCAGTTGAAACATGGGCGGCATCCCGTCGTGTCCTGCAGCATATTGGTGGAAGTGCAAGTCGTGAACTTGAGAATATCGTCACTCAGTCACTTGATGATGTTACCTGTTTTCTCGCCCGGCGTTGCTTTGATACGGAGGACACACTCTCATTATCTTGGATGCGTACATCCCGCTATAGCTATCACGAGTGTATTATGCTCTGTACATTATGGACCGATATGGCCTCATGTGATAAGTTCTCAGAACATCATAAACTCTTTGCAGCCCTCGCCGCAGCGCAGATTGGCAATTTTTATCTTGCCACGAATCAACTCACGCACGCACAGACACAATTCGATACACTTGAATCACTTGCCGTAGAACTTGGTGATCCTTTATTGCGTGCATCGGGGCATACATTCAGTGCTTTGGTTAATTGGCAACGTGCACGCTATGCAGTGGCGGAATCCTTGTTGCGTGCGGCGTTATTGGAATGGGGGGCATTATGTGAAGTGGAATTTGTTCAACATTCTCATTTAAATGAGAGTGAAATGAGCAGTAACAGTAAGAGTGGAAGAGGAAATACCAACAGTGATTCTACTGGTAATAGTGGTGGTAAAAGAAACAGCAATGTTAGTAATTCTGGTACCGTATGTAGTTCAAAATTAATGGGATCTGTTCCAAGAGATTATATAGGTTTAATGGAGTCGATAAGTTATAAGTATCTTGTATCAAGTATTGCAAGTACATATCGCTATCGTGAGGCCCTTGAAGTACTAGAGCGAAGTTTGGTATGTAAGTATCGCGATCTACTATTTGAAAAATTAAAGGTAAACTTTACAGCTCAACCTACACTTGATCATATCGTGGCTACTTCTTCGCAAATACGTTCTCCATTTATTTATCAACTTGTAACACAACGGTATGAATGGTCAGCTGAAGAACGGTGTTTTGTAGTAGATGAGAAATTACTCATGTGGGTAGTACCACAAGGTAATGAGATGCGATTTGTTGAAGTTGGTGTTACCAAAGACTTTAAAGTACCTTCTATTAACAGTCTTGTAGAAGTGGTACGCCGTGAGTTATTGCTCGATCCATTCTCCAGTTCCAATAGCGGCGGCGGCGGCGGCAATAATAATAATAATAATAATAATAATAATAATAATAATAATAATAATAATAATAATAATAATAATAATAATAATATCAAGATTAACACCAATACTACTACGACTACTGGGTCTGGTACTACGACTACTGGGACTGGTACTACTCCCACTGCTACTACTACTACTACTACTACTACTACAACTACCAATAATAATAATAACAATAATAATAATGTGGCGGAAGATATTATTATGACTTTTCCGAAACGTTCATGGGTGGAGCCATTGCAGACACTTTACGCTATTTTTGTGGACCCCGTTGTGGAGTTCCTTCGTGCACTTGATCCGCTCTTTCTCAGTAAGAATGGTGTTATTACGCTTATTCCCACAGAAAGACTTTGGCTAGTTCCCTTTAATGCCCTTATTGCCCGCAATGGGAACTTCCTCGTTGAGGACTTTGCCGTTCAACTCGCCTTCTGCGCCACACAATGCGCCTTTTCCGCGCTTAGTGTACGCCGTGTGCTGCAGCGTGATCTTCACAGAGATGTTGTACTTGTGCAGCGAGAGGCGGAGACGCCGGCGATGCATTTACTCGCCCACGTGTTGTTTCCATTCGACGCGCTGCGGTCCACACGCGAAGGCACCGCCGTTGTGCGAACACTCGCCGAACACAAACGGCACACCGATGAGTCGAGAGGCACCACAACTTCCGAAATCCTCATTGATGATCTCAACGCCCTGCGGGAGTTACTGCCAAAGAGTCGAATGGTGCACATCGCGGCCTCCACAACAAGCGGCACCTGCAATGATGATGGCAGTGCGGGGGCTATTTGCATTGCGGCATCACGAGAAGAAATCGCGTTACTGCGGGCATCTGAGATTGCACGGATGGAACTCTTTGCGGAGCTTGTGGTGATGAGCAACACCAACATGTCCACCTCTCGCGTGGTGGGCACACACGATGATGTGCAGGGACTTATCCGCGGATTTCTCTCCGGTGGAGTGCCGTGTGTGATTGTGGGCCAGTGGTGCACGCCCGACATGGTGCCCTCTGATCTCTTCTCGAAGTTCTATCAAATACTCGCAGAGGCCCACAAGAAACAACAACGGCCGCCTTCCACAAACAGCTCCACACAAGCCACCACCACCGCCGCCACCGTAACGGCACCAATGAATCCTTCCAACAGTGAAGATGAGGCGGGTGCACATGAATCAGCAGATCTGCATCGACACAAGGCATTAGTTCTCGCCTGGGCTATTCGTGCATTATTAGAAGAAAGCTTTTTCCGCTTTTCTCCACGTGCCTGGGCGGGTTACTGTTGCGTTGGTTATGGATCGTATCAGTAAGTGGAACTAGCAACAAGAAAAAAAAAAAAAAACACCCAATAGTGAGAAGTGTTATTATTTTACTATTATTTATTCATTTATTATTATTATTATTATTATTATTATTATTCCTTTTTCGTCAGCATCACCGCCAATCTATTCCATTCTTGCAATATGTACACTATTTATTAGTGGTGTTTACGTCTGCACGTGAATATCTTTTTTTTGTTTTTCCCCTTCCTCCATAGTCTTCCTCCATAGTCGTCTTCTGTATGACTATATATATATATATATATATATATGGGGGCTATGTGTATGTGTTTTTGATTGTATTTCATTTTTGCACTATTGGTATAATGAGATTTCTTGTTTTTTTTTATTTCCACTTTATGTAAAAAAAAAAGGAATTAAAAAAAATACAAGTGTATATATATATACCAAATTGGAGAGAACGTTGTGTTGCAAAAAAGAAAAAAGAAAATGCATTCACAACTAAATATGTACTAAATTGGAAATAGTCAAAATAGAGCAATGGAATCCAAACAACAACAAAAGAGTTTCTCTGTTATTTTATTTTTTTTTTTTTCCCCTCTTGTGTTGCACTCAGTGTACTGTGTTATCTCTCGGATCGTTTGCCGCATATATCTTTTCTTTTCTTTTCTTTTTTTTTTTCTTAATTGTTCCCGTTAGCAATAGATATTATTCGTGGAATCAAGGGAAAAGAAAAAAAAAAAAAAAAAACGTCGATAATAGAGAACGATACACCAAAGGGTGTTTAATACTTCATAGTAGAAAAGAATACGTTTATATATATATATATATATATCATCTATATCTGTATATTTATAAATACCCTACTTAAAAGAAAAAGAAAAAAAAATGTATTCAGAGGCGTATACAGGAGAACTACCAAGGGAAGAGCGTCAACCAATGTCTGATCATGAAGTTTTATTCTTTGGATGTCTTGCGGTGATGATTTCAGAGGTGCGAGTAAAGGGATTGGAATTACAGCAACAATTGAAGTCATGCAGTGGGGCTCAGTTACTTGTGCGAGCCGCCGTCACACCTGTGGGAACAGAGGCAGTGGAACGCATAGGAGAATCTATACAATCCAACAAGTATGCACTTCAGAATGCAGAAATGGCGGATGAATTACTTATTCCTATAATGCTGGAGCGGGCTCCTCATGTTACGACTAATGCTACTGTTACTGGTATGAGTGCTGCGTTGTCTAGCGCTGCGTCGAGTAGCAGTCTTCTTAAGAACAACAACAACAACAACAATAATGTCGAAAAGAAGGAAAAGGAGAATGAAGAAGAAGAGGAAGAGGAAGAGGAAGAAGAGAAGGATAATTTACATAAGAGTATGGATGAGAAACCATCATTAGAATTGGCACTGAATATTGATTTTTTGCGTAATGGTGTATCCACCACTACTGCCCGCCGCACAGTGATGATTAACTCATTATATGATGTGGGAGAACAACACTGTGGAGTGGCGACGGCCCGTGTTAGTGCCGCTGTACTGCGGGAAAATAAATTCTTGGAGTCCAGCCCTTCTGTGCGGGTGAATACCTCCAAGTTATCCTCCGTGTCTGCGGAGAGAAACGAGAATGCGAATTGGTGCGGTGTTGAGGTTCAAATTATTGTGCGGGCCATTGACGCCTCCGCCCCACTGCGGTTAATGCTGGCGGCTGAAGATACCGCACGGTCAATACTTCGAATGCCAAAACTACAGCCATACACAATGTTTGTATTCCCACAGCAGACAACTATTCCCTATGGTGCTGTCCAACTGGATGCTCTTTACTATTTTTACCACAACTTCTTTGAACAGTACTTTAATAAAACTATCAAGACAACAGCTCACGTCCTTCAGTTACTGCAGTCTTCTGGAAAGGAAAGTACTGAAGGTGGTAATCATACACAACGGAATGATGGAAATGAAATGAATAGCTGGTCTGCATTACATTCTATAGACTTACGGCCAGTGTTGATTGGAGATGACGCCCTCGCCCCGCTGCTCGCCACACTCTTTCACTGTTCATCTCTCAATACAATGATATTAGATGAGAATAGCGTAAGTGATATCACATGCTATCGACTCGCTGCACTCTTTCACAAACACAGATGTCTCCGATCCATTTCAATCAAAGGCAACAATATACATGAAAGCGGTGCTGAACAACTGTTGCGTCTCGTTCGCCGTAATAAACGAATCACAAAACTCTGCGCTAATGGGAATCTATGTACATCTCGTGTATTGGAACGCATTCAACGAGTGGTGGAAATGAATACGGAGACACATGAGAATGATCCTTTCAACGTCCTTTCCAAGACGTACGCATACGCTGTTTCTCCCATTTCATTTCCCTCCTCTATAGTTAAAAGAGCTCTTGCTGTATGGGCTATGTTATCTGCAGCCTCCGTGAGTGTAAATCGTCCGTCCTCTGCTATTGCTGCTTCTGCTTCTGCTGTTGTTGCTGCTGCTCCTGCTGCTGCTGATAATGATGAGGGAAATCTCTCAATTATTCCACAATGTGCATTAGCGCCGTTATTGAATGAAGTTATGCGTGCGGTTGCGTGTCGAATGTCATCTATTATACAAGATCCTTGGGTCCGTATGGTGTTTGCCGATATTGAGAGCTACAGAAGGAGTCCTATGTCCTTGCAAGAGAATATGAAGGATCTAGATAATAACAAGAAGGTTCAAAACAACGACAGTAACAAGAAAAATAGTAGCAATAATACTAATAATAATAGTAATAAAATAAATAATAACATGCTAGAAAATTGTAATGTTGAAGATACTAGTGAAGAAAATGAGATGATATCTCTGGTGAATGTAGAAGAACTATACAATTATTCATTTCTTCACATTATTGTTGTTACAATGCGGGCTATAGCAGCTGGAGGAGAATGGACTGAAAGTATGGCAGTCCTTCGCGGGATTGGAAAGCGCCAAAAGAAAATTGGTGTCATGCCAGAAGATTATCGTGACGCGCTGCAGGCATTCATACAGTCCCTCACTGGAGTGTGTGGAAAGGATCATGCAGATGCGGAACATTCTGTAGCATTTCTTCAATGTCTGGCATTAGGTGTGAGAACTGCTGTATCTGTTTAGATTGCACAGTATCTATTGGAATGTATGCATCTACTCTGTTTCTCTCTCTCTCTCTCTCTCTCTCTCTCTCTCTCTGTGTGTGTGTGTGTGCGAGGATAAATGAGATGGTGAGAACGTTTTGGGAAAATGGTAATGGGAATAGAGAGTATATATACACATATACGTATACATATTCCTGATACCATAATAGATGTCCTGAAGTGCTAGAGAATTTCTAGACTTCTCTATTTTTTTTTTTCTGAGAATCTGTCTGTGTGCGTGTGAATGTATGTTTCTTGGAGACGAAATGTTTTTCTTTTTTCTTTTTTTTTTTTTTTTTGAACGTCTCCTCTGTTATTTATTTCTTATCTACTGTATTTATTCTTTGGAATTGTTTTGTTTTTACTTTTCTACCTGCTCACTTATGTACACGTAAATATCTCTTCTGGTTTTCTTGTTGTTGTATTGGTGTAGTTTTATCAAGCTATCATTCATAAATTATTATTTTTATTTATTGCAAATTTTCACTAGTGGTGTGCCTCATTACGACGGCGCACCTGGAGAAACTTGCACAGAGTTCTCTTCTCATTTAAGAGAAACGAGGAATCTCATCGATAATACGGAAAGTTAGATTTAACTATCTTTCCATCTCTAGCACTCTCACTTTTTATATTTATCTATCTATATATCTATCTATATATATATATATATATATATATATCAGGAGGATACCTCTCATGTTTGAACGTGTTATTCGTCTGCGTCCGTATGAGTATGTCCACATTCTTGACAACAACACCTGCGAGGTGCATCTTGTGGAGGGCCCGCAGTGCTTTACGCTGCTCGACCATCACGTCAAGCTGCACAGCACTGTCCAGCGGCACATTGTGATTCCCACCAATCACTACTGCGAGTGCGTGCAGAGTGATGGACACCGCACCGTGCGGCTGAGCGGCCCGCCGTTCCCGCTGCGGCCGGGCGAAACGGCGTCGGAGGTGCGACCGCTGCGAGTTCTCACCGCCCGCGAGGCGATTGTGCTGCACGTCCTCGCGGATTACATCTACAGAGACGCAAACACCGGCGAGGAGCGGCGGCGGATTGCGGGGGAGCGGTGGTTGATGCAGGGGCCCGGTGTGTACATCCCGCGGGTGGAGGAGGAAGTGCTGCAGTCGGTGGAGCCCGTTATTATTCCCATCGATGGGGCGCTGTTAATGCAGGCAACGTGTGATTTCACGGAAGTGGATGGAACCAGACGAAGTCTTGGTGAAGTATGGTTGGTACGAAAACCAAGGATGTATTTTCCAAACCCAAATACAAAAGTCTTAAATTTCTTAATTGGTAAGGTTCTGTCACCCAAATTAGCATTACATGTAAGAGCACTCAATTCTTTTTATGATGTTCACTACAAGAAGGAACGAGTGGCAGGAGAAAGATGGCTTGTAACGCATGATGTAACTCCTATGTTTTTACCAAGTGAACATGAAGAAATTGTAGAGCCTGTGAAGCTCACCATTCTTCGATGGGGACAATATTGTGTGGTTTCAAATATTGTACGGGATGGTATTTGTCACTATGGTGAACGTGAACTTCGCAAAGGTCCTTGCAGTTTCTTACTACAACCGGATGAAAGTCTTTTAGATGGGGAAATAAAGGATGCGTATCTTCTTGGGGCCCATGAAGCACTTCTTGTAGAGGCTCTCACAACTTTCACAGATGAAGAAAAGGAAGAACGTATTATCTCCTCTCGCTGGTTAGTGCATGGACCATGTAGTTACATCCCACCACTTGAAGTACGTGTATTGGAGCGGCGTAAGAGAATGTTACTTAGTGGAGATAAAGGCGTGTATGTACGGAATATACGCACAGGTCGAATTACCGCTATGCATGGACAAGCATTAATGTTAAGTGAAGATGAAGTATTATGGGAGAAACCAATTGATCCACTGGTGTGTCGTCTGTTAGCATCTCAACAACTCTCGGTGTATGATATTAACGCCTCCTCATTAGCGGCAGGGGAAGAAACACAAACTACACATCATGTGATCTCCTGTAAAGTCCCACACAATGCATTAATACAATTATATGATTCAAGTAAAAATACAAGCCGTGTAGAGGCAGGTCCTGCCGCTGTTTTTCTTGAGCCAAATGATGAATTTACACCCATTTCACTCTCTGGTGGACGACCAAAAGTACCCAATTGTATTCATTCACTTTGTCTTTTTCTTGGCCCTGATTTTATGGCGGATATCATTGAAGTAGAAACTCTGGATCACGCTCGTCTCGCACTTAATCTTGCATATAACTGGGAGTTTGATACCTCCGATAGAGAACGTATTAAACGTATTGCTTTTGCCGTTCCAGATTTTGTGGGAAGAGCGTGTATGACACTTGCAAATCGTATTCGAGTCGCTATTGCTGGTGAAACATTTGATAATTTTCACCGAAACTCTTCATCCTTGATTCGTCAAGCTATTTTTAAAAATGTTTCTGGGGCAACCGAATTACGTGGTGATAGTCTATATTTCCCTGTTAATGGTCTCGTAATAACAAATGTGGATGTACACAGTGTAGAGCCTGTGGAATTAAATACACGTAATGCTTTAAAGAAGAGTGTACAACTCGCTGTGGAAATTATTACCAAATCACAAGAGAATGAAGCTTCTCATCAAGCTATGCTACTGGAGCAAGAAGCAAAAGGAGCACTTGAACTTCAATTGATGAAAGATAAAGCATCTGCAGAAGCTGAGCGTATTACACTACTTGAAGTATCGGCTGCTAACAATATCATTGAACTCAGTGGTGCCAGCAAAGCACAGGCACTTGCTGAGAGTGAATCTCGATTAGTAGAACTACAAGGAGAAGTAGATGTGACCGGCACACGCTGTGAGGCTCAAGAGGTGATGGCCAATGCGGAATTAGAAATACAGCGTGAGCGGATGGAATTAGATCTCGCCCATCGTCGTGCGATGAATGAAATAGCCGTGAAAAAAGTTCAAACACTTGCAGATATTGAGGCAACGAAGTTTGAAAATATAATGAATGCACTTGGAAGGGCAACTATTGAGGCTATGGCCCGTGCGGGTCCAGAGTTGAAATCCAAACTTCTACAAGCATTGGGGCTTAAGGGATTTTTGCTTACAGACGGAACAGCACCTATTAATCTCCTGGGGATGGCGGACCGTGTGGTACAGGAACGACCAGCAACAAAACCATGAGAATGATTATTATTAGTTTGGAAAATTATTTCTTTTTTTTTTTTTGTTTTCTTACATTGCGGTTGCTTCTATAAGCGACTTGTTATTCTTACGAATTTTTTTTTTTTTTTTTTGATGATGATGATGATGATGATGATGATGTTGTTGTTGTTGTTGTTCTTATTTTTCAAGGCAATATAATTTTTTGCTAGACGCATTTAACTCATGCGGGTGTTCCCTATCGTTGCTATTTCCGCCCAAAGTGAAAACATCACCATTCAGCCCTCAATACACTTCAATTCTTCTTATCTGCTCTTTTAGGACTGAGAACTATATATATATATATACTATTTACGGTTTTTTTTTTTTGGTTACCCCTTTTAGTTTTAAGTTTTTATTTCTTTACTTTGACTCCTCTTTTATTTTTTTCCCCCCCCCCTTTTTTTTTCCCCCTTTTCTTTATTTCTTTCCAAAAGACATATAAACTGTGTATATCAGGGATTAAAAGACGTTGGTCTAAGACAATAAATACACTCCTGAGTATAAAAAAAAGATAGTTTCTATTAAAAATGACGAGTGCTCTCCGTGAGGTTGTTATTGGGACTGATGATAATAATGATGATAGCTACCACCATACAGCAGAGATAGACACAACAACAACAAAAACAAGAAAAAAAACAACCGGATGGGATGAACATTTCTCGCAGCAACCAGAACTTGCAGAAGTAGAGATATGTATCGCATCACTACGGGCACTTGTGAAGAATGATGGTACTCCAATAGAGCCCACTGACTTTGAACGCATTAACACTATTGTAGATCGTCTTGATCAAGTGTTTTACTGGGCTGTTGAGGAGGCTACAACATTCATTCACGAACCAAGTCTATTAAAACAATGTGAAACTCCACAACTTGTAGTTTTATGTTTAAATACAAAACGTCCAAAAATTATAATAGCTGCATTACGTATTTTACATCAACTCATGCGTCATGAAGAATGTGGACGTTGTGTATTTGAAATTGCTACTACAAATGAACTTTCAAAAGATGCGAAGGAAACTCAAACCTCTACAGAAGCTAGGAGAGATAATGTAGGTAAAGTTTTCTATGATATGATCGCTTCTATTATGGAACAACATGAAGGTGTTGTAGATATTCAGGCGGAATGTGCAGCCATTGCAGCGGAGGCATCTCATCTTGATATTGAAGGGTTTTTACATAGTTCTGTTATTAGTCATGTACTCACAGCTTTACAACGACATGGGGATAACACCACCATGCAGAGAGAAGGAGTACGACTCTTCGCCACACTTGTGGATATTCCACGAGAATCAACATGTGTAAATGTATTAAATGATTTTTCCCATGCCCCATTAGCAATTCTTTTATCTCAAATTGGTGTTGTTGTACAGTTTGTAGTCAATGCATCTAAAGCCCATACAAATAATTTAGATGTCAGACGTCACGCTATTCATTTCTTTCGTCGTTGTGCATCTTTTCCAGAAAATATACCTTTGTTATTAGAACATGGCGTCTACGCTTTCCTTGTGAAAACTCTTCTTTATGCCATACGTATGCCGGAACTCTTTGTAGAGGTGATAGAGGCGATTGCTTACTTTATACCATTATTAGATGTTTGGCAGAAGCGAAGTCTTCTTCTTGTTATCCGCCGTGTGTTGTTAACCACAACATCTTCGAGTTTTATTTCACTTTGTGCAGCACTTCTTGTGCGAGTAGTACAGACTGCCCCTAACGATGATGGCGTTTTATGCGGCCAACTCCAAAGCCTGCAACTGCAAGAAGAAGAAGAAGAAGAAAAGGAAAAAGAGGAAGAAAAGGCGAGATTGTCATTAAATAGAGTAGAACTTGTAAAGAGCGATTTCATTACATTAAAGGACGATGATACACGTAGATTTCTGGCATCTTGTTTCATTCCACAACTGCTTTGTATTGCCGATGATAACTTTGGGGAAGAAGATGCGGTACTACGGCGTTCGGTGAAGGAACTCGTTCGATTACTCTCTCAACATCATTGGCGATGAGACCTATCATTTATTTCTTCTGCTGTTTATATATATATATATATATGGGTATCAATACAGTAGTTTCTGTGAGGGTGAAAAGGATCCCCGACGGCTATTTTTTTTTTTTTTTTTCCTGAAGAGTGCCACACATAAAAGAAGAATAAATATGAGGCGAAAAACAACAAAAAAACAACAACAAAAAAAAAAAGAGTACATCAGGAGAAACTAGTTGGACTTCTATTACTCTTTAGAATGGAATGAGACACTGTTTCTTTGTATTCTCATCTTCTTCTTACTGTCTCTCATCTAATTCCCTTTTCTTTTCTTTCATTTTCTTTTCTCCCTGTTAGTGTGAGGAATGCCCTTCAGCGCGGGGCAGCGCCGGCGGCTCTCGCTGCAGTTCCTCATGTTCGACAAGGACTCCGACGGCCGCATCCCCACAACCGAACTCGGCCCGCTGCTGCGCTGTTGGGGCTTCTGCCCAACGGAGGCGGAAGTTCTCGCCGCAGCGCGACTGCTCGATCCCGACAACACCGGCGTTGTGCAGAAGCAGCAAGTGATGGACGCGGCGGAGTCGATGCGGCAGCAGGTGACAACAGAGGCTGAAGTGCGGGAGGCACTGCGGGTGCTCGACACAGACGGCGATGGATTCGTGACAACAGCAGAGTTGCGGCACGTGTTGTTGAACTTGGGATTTCGTTTGACAACAGAAGAGGTGGATGAAGTCCTCGCAGACGCATACGTAGATGAGGATCACCAAATCAACACAGATGAGTTTGCACGTATGCTCTTTGCTGACACGACGGAAGGGTCTAAAGACCCATTGGACGGATTGTAATAAAGGAATGTCGTGGTAGAGCGAAAAAAAAAAAAAAAAAAACTGTGAAGGAACAAGCAAGATGTGTCATTGATCCATCATCAATATTGTATTACTTTTTAATTTTTTTTTTATTTTTTCTGGTTTTTCTTGGCTATTACTTTTTATTGGAATAATAATTTTATGATATGATGCAGATTCCTCTTTTCTGTGATTTTTCTTTTCTTTTCATTTTTTCTAGGGAAGAGAAACAAACACTTGGTTCTGGTTATACTTCTCTACATTGGCGGTGTTTCTTGGGGGTTATTATTATTATTATTTATTCTTCTTGTGTGAACTTTCAAATGAGTGAAAGTCATCCAGTGCTTGTTATCGACAATGGTGGGTATACGATAAAGGCACTTTACATACATGACCCCACGAATACCGTCTCGCACCCACCACGACAGGCCGTTGTGCCTAATTGTGTTGGTGCTGCGGCCTTTGCCGGACGCGGTATTGTGGGTGAACAGTTGTTTAAACTACCGCACTTTCATGGCTTTATGGTGCGTCGTCCTGTTGATCGTGGCTTTGTTGTGGATGCGGCATTGCAGAGTTATATATGGGAGTACCTCTTGCAGGTCTTTGCAATTGCAGATGAGAGTGATGTGGAACTTCTTCTCACTGTGCCTTTTGCGGCACCAAAGCAGGTAGTGGAAGTATTACATTATTTAGTGGCGCAACGATTTAAATTTCGTGCGGTGACTCTCGTAAGTTCCACGTTTCTCGCTTTAGTGGCTGCTGCCTCTGTTCCATTATTACATGGAAGCACGACTGTCAATAATAATAATAATAATAATAATAATGATAATAATAATAATAATAATAATAATAATAATAATAATAATAATAGTAAAAGTGTTACGGAATTGCGCTATTATCTCCCAACAGTACCTCCACTCATGCCACTTGGTTGCCGTGAGGAGGAATTACACGATGCCCTGAAAGGTGAGGCAGTAGCGCCTGACAAACACACTTTGCAGCATCTTGTCTTCTCCCATGAGGCATTTCTCGTTCCGGAGCTTATCTTTCACCCCGTAGATGTTGGTATTCATCAAATGGGTGTAGTTGAGGCTATTTTAAAAGGTACGACACGCAGTTTGATCTTACGTGATGCACCAACATTACATCAAGCCCTATGTCGTCGTATAGTTGCATTCGGTGGGACAGCCAAGTTTAAGTATATGCGGGAACGGCTTTCAAATGAGTTGCAGAAGGAACTCATTAAGGAAATACAACTGGATATATCCACAGGAATGGCAACAACAACTACTACTACGACTACAAATACTAAAACTACCAATCCTGCTACTACGGAAATACCTATACTACAACAACTTGTGCAGCGACGTCGCATTAAATCTATAACAATAGATGAAAACAATACACTTGCTTCTTATTCCTTACACGACACAGAGCTACAACCACTCTACGGGGCACTTTCACTCCTCACACAAGCATCACAAAAACATTTACTTCAACAAGTAAGAAAACGAAGCCATGTGGACTTTTCAAATATAAGACAACCAAAAGGGATTCCACGAACACAGTCATCCACAATGCATAAAACACAGAAAGCTATTCAAGATGCACTCAGCGACCTACTGTAAAGTATCATTTGTATTTCACACAGCAAAAACACCTTGTATTACTCCCTCATACGTTTATTTACACCATGTCTTAAATCAACATGATCACATACACACTGTAACTACTCTAATACATCCTTTATCTCCTATTCGTATTAATATTCACATTTCTAAACAAAAAAAAATGAATAAAAAAACGAGAAAAAAAACAAGTCAATCTAAACAAAACATTACACAAGCAACTAAAAACAAGAACAAAACAATCATGTCAAATCGTCTGAACAACCTGATGCAACACATCTCCATCAAGGAGAGCGATGGAGAGGCCATGCGCCACGTGAAGCAGCGCCTTGCAATGGCGTCCCTTGCATCTCAGTTCACGGTGGGCAAGCATCACCTCAATCAGCTGGTGATGTACATGCTGCACGAAATGATTGAGGGCCTGGAGGGCCGCGAGAGCACGATACGCATGCTGCCCTCGTACGTGTACAAGGCGAAGCCGAGCTCGGCGACGGGCGTGTTCTACGCACTTGACCTTGGTGGCACCAACTTCCGTGTGTTACGTGTGTCGTGCAAGGCGGGCAAGGTGGTAAACCGCGTGGATTCCTCTTTTGTGATTCCAAAGAAGGCCCTGGAAGGGACTGCAACCGACCTGTTCGATTTCATCGCCAGCAGCGTGAAGAAGATGATGGAGACCAAGGCCCCGGAGGATCTGAGTCACACAGTGCCACTGGGCTTCACCTTCAGTTTCCCCACTGACCAGAAGAGCGTGGATCGCGGAATTCTGATCAAGTGGACGAAGGGCTTCTCGACTCAGGGCGTGGAGGGCAAGGATGTGGTGGACCTTCTGCAGACGTCGCTGAAGCGCGTGAACGTGAAGCTGAAGGTGGTTGCACTCTGCAACGATACCGTCGGTACGCTCATCACGCGCTACTTTGAGGACCCTGATGCGCAGGTTGGCGTGATCCTTGGCACTGGCTCCAATGCGTGCTACTTTGAGACGGCTGCCTCGGTGAAGAAGGACCCTGCCGTGGTTGCCCGCGGTGCAGCTCAGACACCAATCAACATGGAATGCGGTAACTTCGACTCCAAGTACAAGTTCGTGCTTCCGATCTCCGTGTACGACGAGGAGATGGACTCCATTACACTGAACCGTGGACATCAGGCACAGGAGAAGCTGGTTGCCGGCATGTATCTGGGGGAGATCGCCCGCCGCGTGATCGTGCACCTTGCCCAGTTGAAATGCCTGCCCAGCAACCTCGGGACCGCAATGGGTAAGCCTTGGAGCTTCGAGACGAAGTTCATGGGCATGATCTCTGCCGACCGCATGCCTGGTCTGCAATTCACGCGCGGCACGATCCGCCGACTGTTCGGTGTTGATGTGCATGAGGTTGCCGATCGGCGCGTGATCTGCGATGTGTGCCGCCTGGTTCGCGGACGCGCGGCGCAGGTTGGTGCCATGTTCTGCAGCGCCCCGCTTATAAAGACACACACACAAGGCCGCGCGACGGTTGCCGTCGACGGTTCAGTGTTTGAGAAGCTTCCCTCATTCCGCCGCCTGTTCCAGGATACCATGAACACCATCCTCGGTCCCGAGTGTGACGTGAAGGCGGAACTCGCGAAGGACGGAAGCGGTATCGGTGCCGCTTTTATCTCAGCACTGGCTGTCAACGACAAATGATTGAGCAGGAACAGGGTTGTGATGTGCGGTCCAGATCATATATAGAAGGCCGATGACTGAGACACGCAATCATATTTTTTTTTT